TTTTATAACTCTCAGTATTATTGAATATTCAATAAATGTAACTCCTTTTTATTCTCTTAATTCTGTCTAACCTGTTTTTATAACATTCAATATCACTGAATATTCAATAAAYAGAACTGCYTTTTATTCTCTCAATCCTGTCCATCCTGTTTTTTTATAATATTCAATATTGAATATTCAACAAATAGAACTGCTTTTYATTCTCTTTAATTCTGTCCAGCCTCCGTTTTTATAACATTCAATATTACTGAACATTCAATAAATATAACTGCTTTTTATTCTCTTAATTTTGCCCCTCCTCTGGTTTTATAATATTCGATATTATTGAATATTGAACTGCTTCTTATTCTCTTTATTCTGTCTACCCAGCTTTTATAATATCCAATACTATTGAATATTGAATAAATAGAACTGCTTTTTATTCTCTTGATTTTATCCATCCCATTTTTGTAACATTCAGTATTATTGAATATTKAACTGCTCTTTATTCCCTTAATTTTATCTATCCCATTTTTTATAATATTCAATATTATTTGATATTCAATAAATAGAACTACTTTTTACTCTCCTAATTCTGCATACCCCGTTTTTATATTATTCAATATTACTGAAAATTCAATAGATGGAAACACTTTTTATTCTCTTAATTTTGTCCAGCCTCCATTTTTATAGTATTCCATTTTATTGAATATTCAATAAATAGAACTACTTTTTACTCTCTTAATTCTGTATACCCTGTTTTTATATTATTCAATATTACTGAAAATTCAACAAATGGAAATACTTTTTATTCTCTTAATTTTGTCCAGCCTCCATTTCTATAGTATTCCATTTTACTGAATATTCAATAAATAGAACTACCTTTTATTTTCCTAAATTCTGTCCAGCCTCAGTTTTAGATCAGTGGGATTTCAGTGGGATTTTCAGACCGGGCTTGGGGTCACTCTGTCCACTGGTCACTCCGTCCACTCACCGGCCTTGCCGATCTGCACCGCCAGGCGCGTCAGCTTCCCCTGCAGCACCGACTTCTCCTTCTTGGGCACCTTCACCTTCTTCTTCTCCTTCTCCTCRTTCTCCACGCCCTCCTGGCTCTTCAGGGGCTGGATCTCTAAGGCCACACCGTCCTGAGTTTTAGCTACAAAGCCCAGYGGGGACAAAACAGAGACACCACGTGTGAACAGGAGAGAGAGCCCCGAGAAACCCTGGGGACACCGCTGAGSAGGATGGTGGTGAGAGAGAAACAGAGAGAGAAAACCAGAGAGAAATCCCAGCACCAGAACCACTCCCGACGACACACRGGTCCGAGCGTGGGCAGGCTCCGTGTCCCCTGTCACCTCCCTGTGGGGCGGGTTTGTGTCACCTCCCTGTGGGGTGGGTTTGTGCCACATCCCGGTGGGGCACTTTTGTGTCACCTCTCTGCAGGGCAGTTTTGTCACCTCCCTGGGGGGCGGGTTTGTGTCACCTCCCCTCCCCACGGGGCAGTTTTGTCACATCCCCATGGGGCAGCTTTGTGTCACCTCCCCGTGGGGCAATTTTGTGCCATCTCCCTGCAGGGCAGTTTTCTGTCACCTCCCCATGGGGTGGTTTTCTGTCACCTCCCTGCAGGGCAATTTTGTCACCTCCCCACGGGGTTTGTGTCACCTCCCCTCCTCGTGGGGAAGTTTTGTCACCTCCCTGCGGGGCAGTTTTCTGTCACCACCCCATGGGGCAGCTTTGTGTCACCTCCCCGTGGGGCAATTTTGTGCCATCTCCCTGCAGGGCAGTTTTGTCACCTCCCTGCGCAGCAGTTTTATGTCACCTCCCCATGGGGCAGTTTTCTGTCACTTCCCTGCAGGGCGGGTTTGTGTCACCCACCCCAACCCGACATCCTCAGAGGTGACACCGGCACCGGTTGCGCCTCTGCAAGAAACCCCCAAGGCCGGATTTTGGGGTCTCCTCCATCCTCTAACCCTGCAGAGAACCGGGACCTCTTTGGGATGACCCCAAAGATGCTCCAGCACTCCCAAACCCTCGATTTGTCCCCAGTT